GAGGTAGGGGGCACAGGTGTTGGAAACCCAGGCCCGGAAGCCCCTGAACCCAGAGATTCAGTCCTTCTCTTACCTGTCATCTGCTGCCATCTGGAGCACCTGGCTCACTTCCCACCTTGGATCAAACCTCAGCAGCCTATTTATCTTGGTAAGATCTGGCTGCTCCTGGCCTTGCTGGGAGGCTAGGTCTTCCCAGCTACAAGCCAGAGCCCCTCCACTGAGGCTAATGCATTTTGGAACTCATCAACAGAATTTTAAAAATCTAGATCCATGTACAAAACAAGTCAGAAACTTTCCTGTGCTCCTTAAGGATGGAATACCAGCTTCCACTGGAAGGGGCCTCAACTGAAAGGGCACTTAAGAGCGTCTATTTCACCTGGACAGGTGACAAGATTCTAATGTTTTGGAGGCCTCAGGGTTCAACTCAATGGGGAAATCCTTAGTAACTATGAATGGCCCAAATCACAGAGGGTCTGCAATCTAAGCAGGTAGAGAATCTGAGCATGGTGCAGTACGCCTACAGTCCCAACTGCTAGGGAGGCTGAGGTAAGATCACAAATTCAAATTCAGCCTGGGAGCCAGAGCCTGGTGGCACACGCCTACAATCCCGGCATTTGGGAGGCTGAGGCAGGAGAATCTTCACAAGATTGTGAAGAGACCAGCCTGAGCTACAAAGCAAGCTCAAGGACAGCCTAAATTGTATAGTGAGACCTTGCCTCAAAAAGACCAAAAAACAAAACAAAACAAAGTCAGCCTGGGCAAGAACATGAGACTATATTTTTTAATAGAATCAGGCTGATTTGGAAGGGAACTTCCAGGGTACCTACTATAAGAAGCCTGCCCTTAATCTTTTAATTATTCCTAAACAAATCTCATTTACAGCAACAAGTGATTCAAGTAATTGCATTGGCAGTAAGGTAGACAAACTCGCATATGGGAGATTTACTTGGAAAGGTTAAAAAAAAAAAAAAAATCACCAGAAATTGTACTAATAACACAGAATAGAAAAAACACCTTTCCAAGGCACGGCAGAATTAAGATGGTCATGAATTACCTTTTTAAGTAGGTAGCACTAGCTTAATTTAGGGCTTTCAACCTGATGAGTCTGATGTGCAGATATTATTCAGGGCAAGAGAATGCTGAGCTGCCAGTCCCCCTCCTGAAGAGCTCCCCTTCAGGTGCAGGGCCTGGAGGAAGACTGCCCAGGTGGATTAGGTTCCCTCACTAGATTAGCATGTTGGGCAAGTTATCTCACATCTGCCTAAATGGCATTTTTACTCTGTACAGTGGAGATTAACAGTATGTACACTAATGATGCCAGTGTGTAAGTGCTTAATAAACAGCAGCTCTGATTCTGGCACCACCCTTTTCCCAGGCACCTCTGGTTTCTCATCCTCTGATTTCCCATGACCAGTAGCACATCCCAGTTTCTCAGTACAGTAGTACCAATCATATCTACTCCTCTAGAGCTCAGACACCCTCCAGCCCAGACCCCTCCTCAGGTCTCGAGTGTGGCTCCACCAGTCTCCTGCTGTGGTCTGTACTACACCCACTCTCCTGTCATTCACCATTTCTCTCCCTTAAAGAGTATTCACTGACCAACAGTCCTTGTTCCAAAGCCTTCAAAAGACTTCCACTGCTTAGGATAAAGGAGTGGAAAAGTGCCTGCCATGAGCCACACGCTCAGTGTTCAATAGTTTAGTGCTCCGTTAGGGTTTGCACTGGGTCCATCCTTCTCAAAGAGCTACCTTAAACCCTTTCTTCTCTACAAGTTCCCCAGGGCAGCCAAGCCCTCTGTGATTATTCCTTCCACCAAGCACTATAGCACACCTGATTAGATCAACCATATGTCCACAGTATCATCCTTAGCTAAGTGTTATATAACTTTCTTTCCCCTTAGGTGTAAGCACAGACGTGCTGGGATCCACCTCATCTTCCAATCCCTAGCATACAGTCCAAGCTGGAGCGTATTCTCCATGCTGGTCAAATGCTGACTTACGGCCTCCTTCACATCCTTCTAAATGCTCTTTTCCACAGAGGCCAGCTGATCACAAAGTACAAGTATTAAAACCTCAGGAAGAGTTGGGCATGGTGGCACATGCCTGTAATCCCAGCACTCGAGAGGCTGAGGCAGGAGGATCATTGCAAGTTCGAGACCTGCCTGGCCTACAAAGTGACCTCAAGGCCAGCCTGAACTGCATAGCAAGACCCTTTCTCAAAAAGCCAAAAAAAAAAAAAAAAAAACTCAGGAAGAAGAGACAAGACTCACTTTCCACTAAGTGAAAGAAGTAGAGCCAGATCCATGGCAACACGCCCCTGGCTGCAGTCAAATCACTATGGCCTTGAGACCAACATATGACAGAAGTGCTGCCAAGAGAGGCTGGCCCACTGGAAGAGGCAGACTCCTGAGGTTAGGCCCCAGGACACCAGGGATGGGAAACGACACTCCCCATAAGTTCAGGGTGGCCATCACACTCTTCCTCCCAAGTCACATAGAATTTTGTAAGAAGTTATTTAATAGACCTAGTCCAACCTTCTGTACAACATTGGGCAGAAGTGAAATAGAAATGTGAAGACTTCTAATTGTGTGGGTAAGATATATCCCTTCAGTTCCCTGTGACACTGTTGCCACAGGTGGAGGTCTGGGACTGCTTTCTGGGAATAAATGAACACAACGTGCTAGGTTGTAACTGGGAGACCCTACTTCTGCCCTATTTTGATCCTTTTCTTGCTTTCTCCTGAAGTCTATTCCTTTCCTTATATGAAGAGCTTACTGCCATCTGTAGGACACCAACAGTATTACTCCAAATTCCCATCTCGTGGGCTGGGATGTAGCTTAGTGGCACAAGTGCCTTCCTGGCAAGCACAAGGTCCTGAGTTTGATTTCCAGTATCAAAAAAAAAAAAAAAAAAAAAAAAAAGCCAAATTCCCATCACATTGTGAAATAGGAAGAAAATGTTCAAATGGGAAGAACTAGAAGGGTGCGAGGAGGAAAGCAAAGAAGGGAAAAGTAAAAAAATGAGAAAAGAAAAAAATGTAAGCAAAGCTTTTATAAATGAGGGAAAGAAGAGCTGAAGAGAGAGTAGGGGAGTGGAAAAAAATCAAGTTGTATCATGCACAGGACCAAATTCCCTATAATGAATGTGACTACTGTGTATACCTAAAATGTACCAAAACTTTATTTTTAGAAATTCTTATTTCAAGACTGTCTTTGTAAGGGCCGGGGATGTAGCTCAGCGGCATTAAGTGCTTGCCTGGCAAGCCTGAGTTCGATTCCCGGTACCAAAAGAAAAGAAAACCAGACTAATAGACCAAGACTGTCTTTGTAGTACAGTACTACTGTGTGTACCCCATCTGCTCAGAACTGGTGTCTTTAAAGATCCTACAGGACTTAGGTATGGTGTCAGTCCTGTAAGCCCACCTAGCACTCTAGGAGGGAGGATTCAGGGGGATCGAAAATTCAACCCCAAACTGGGTCACTTAGTGAGACCTTGTCCCAAAGTTTAAACTGTGTGTGTGGGGGGGGTTGGGGGTCAGGGAATGGGGATTAGGGATATAGTTTAATCCAAAGGTTCAACCCCCAGGACCACCAAAAAAAAAAAAAAAGATCCCATAGGAACCATTTCACCAACATGAATCTTTAGTACTATGAGCTAAAGACAGGATCCAAGGTTGACCAATACTAAGGAATTATACCCAAGCTACCTTTTGTCCTCTTTTGATACTGTTCAGAACCTCATCACTGTAGTAAACCACATCTTGTTTCTTCTTGCCCCAATCCTATGAGCAATCATCCTAGTATGAATCTAAAAGTCAACTCAAGGCACCCAAAACTGCATAATCATTTCCAACTCAAAGTCTATGAACAGTGATCATTCATTAGCCTCTGGCTGGAAATAGTAATCATTATATAGCAGTGATGGCCAACTTTTTAGAGCTTTCAATAATATAGCCTGCTGTGGCACATGTGCCATAGGTTTGACACCAAGATTATATAGTGTTAAGTATACACTGAACAGCTCTAAGAACGCTCTCTACACAGACCACACTCAATTCTAACACAGGAAGTAAGTTATTACCCTCGGGCCGGGGATTTAGCTCAGCGGCAAAGCGCCTGCCTGGCAAGTGCAAGGTCGTGAGTTCGGTTCCTGGTACCAGAGAAAAACCAAAGGAAAAAAAAATAAAATAAGTTATTACCCTCACAAATGAATCTGGTGAAACGCAAATCAAGATCTAGCCAGAGCTGCAGAAGCATGTATGTTAGCAATACACAGCCCCTACTGTAATATTAACAGTCCTCCTGCAAGCACTCTCTTGCTATAGGTGCTTAGTTTCCAAGAGTTTTATATGCTGGAGAGGCAAGTAATCCTATACAATTAAGGATATTTCTCATATAGCCTAGAAAAGTTGCCAGAGGTTTTCCCTGAATTGAGAGGCAGTGCCCAAAAAACTACCATTGCCTCTAGATACATGGTTAGGTGTCTGCCAACTTTAACCACCCAAACGCCACTCCTGAAAAAACTAAAGTTTCCTTTCATAGAACTGCTAAAGCAACACCAAAAAATTTTTATTAGTATTTCAACTCTTAAATCTCATCCTTTTATAGACATATACTATTAGGTTGCACTATCACTGTAATAGTAAGGACACACATCAACAAATATCCTACGATCTTAAGATTCCCTCTACATTATTCTCTAGAAAAATCATTTGTGCCTTTAATCAGCTTTTTCAAAAGGGACAAAGAAACAAAAAACCACTTGTTTGCAAATAAACATCTGAAAGAATATAGTAACAGCTGATCTGGGCCAACGCATCAACACAAAGTGTTGATTGTGGAAGAAGACAATGCAAACGACTCTGCAGCAAGAAACCCAGGGCAGAGAATTTGCAGAAATGTACATGCTGAGTATTTCCACTAGCCCAAAGGCCCCATCTGGAACAAATATAAACTAGGAGGTCTCTATAACTTGCCAATTTATTACCTGAACAGAAAGAAGTCACTGCCACCAACAGCACTGTGCCGTTTTATTAACCATTCAAGTACAGTAGCATCTGGTAAGATTGGGACAGAATTGGGATTGAAAAATGAACAGATATTCAGGATCTAACAATTTGAAAGAAGCCACTACATACTTTTTTCACAAACATGTTTTCACAGAGCCAATACAGTACTAGCCATTCATTCAGTACACCAAGTGTACTGAAGTAGAAAAGATGCAACAAGAAAAATAGCTACATTAGAAAGACCAACACTTTAGAAAAAGAGTAAAACACTTTTAGTTTCTCCCCTTTAGCCCCTAAAACAACATCTTACAATTTGGATCTACCTATACAGTCCTACATCAGCTTCTAGAGTATTTGTCAGGAGGGAAAAAAATAAAATGACACTGGCCAGTACAGTCTTTGGATATTTAGGAAGGGGAGGGGGAGAAAGTCAGTTCTCAGAACAAATTAGTCAGCTTCAGTTTCATCAGCAGGATCTTTGGATTCTTTGTTCTTCCGTACTTCTTCAATGTGTTTGTCCT